GCACTGATTTTTTGCTGGGAAATAAAACTTGAATTTAAAAAATAAATACAAAAGACAGTTTTTGAACAGGAAATTGTAACCTGCTAGGAAATTCATGTGTGATTTTGATTAAACTTAAAAATTTGAAGTGGCTTGTTTTTTAAATATATAAGCTTCATATTTTTCTACCTACTAGGAATGTTCCCTCCACCTTAGTCCTATAGGGTCCTTCCAAAGAGGGATACGGGTTTATTGGCAAAATTCTTTGTTTCCTTTTGATGATACTGAAACAGCAAATAAAAGTAAGACTTCCCTTTATATGATGCTTAGGAACAAACAGGAAAACAAAACCAAAAAAGCTTTCTAAATTATCAAAGCTGTAATAAGGCTATGGGAAAGTTAAATAATTATCCTTAGAACACTTTGAGGTAGATGTGATAGTTTTACAGGAGGCTTTTTTTTTTTTTTTGATGGCACTGGTATTGAACTCAGGACCATGCTACCACCTAAGCCACTCCACCAGCCCTCCTCCCCATCTTCAACCCTTTTGTTTGGTATTGGGGATTGAATCCAGGGCCTCAAAAAGCACTCTACCATTTGAGCTACACACTGAACCCTTTTGTTTGTATTTTGTGAGATAGGATCTCAGAAACTGCCTGGCTGGCTTCAAACTGGCTGTCCTGCTCCCTCCATAGTAACTGGGATTACAGATATGTACCACCACACCTGGCTTACATTGTTAAGCCTAATAGGTAACAGCCAAGTTTAAGTCCTGGATTTAAGCCAGGAAGTCTGGTTCCAATATCCATGCTGTTAATTATTCATACATGTGATTTTTGCATAGTTAAAGACTCATTTCTGAAAGCTCCTAATGGAATAAGCCATTGTTGGAGCAGTAGTAAAACTACCTGATGGAACAAAGAATGTTTGCAGCATACTCAAAGCAGCTTACTGTACTTTTAAACTATGGCTTACACATGAATTCAAGTTTTCATTCTCACCAGTTTTTCCTCACTTCAACACTCAAACAGTGCTTTCTAATGTTTTTGACTACCATTCTTTGATGCCTTTGTTAATTTTTACTTTTGGTACCTTTTATTAAATCCTGATGTTTCATTTCATTTGCCCATGTGGAAAGCTATTGGCTCTGGGGTCATTCTGTAGCCATCTGGCACACAAGGTTCATTTATTCCTTTTGAACTTGGTGCATGTATGTATTTGCAACAGCATCCTTAGACAACTATCATGAGCTCAACTTTGACATTTGTCATACTGGATTCAGAGATAAGATCTCTGGAGAGTCAACTATGGAAAAAAGAATTATAACTGTAGTAGCTACCACACAGTTAAAAGTAGCAGTTAGGATGTCGTCACATCAAGCTTAAGTGGTTTAGGTAAATCCACTGAACTGAGTAAGATGAATTGGAGATGAAGAGAAATTGAGATTATTGCAAAAATCAAGACAAATTAATGTTTCTGGACTAGAGTGGTAATGGGAAGAATGAAAATGAGTAAGTGTAAGAATCATGAAGCAAATGTTAGGACCTGGTTACCTACCTGGGTAGGCAAGGGAGGAGAGAAACATGATTTTTGGCTTAGCAAAGATGGTGTTGTCAATCCTAATGGAGAAATTAGGACATGGGTCAGTGGTTGGCAGGGGCCAGAGAAAATGAAAATGATTTCTATTTTACATGACTTGACCTTTTAAGAGAAAAATTTCAGGATTTCTGTAATTTAAAATTAGCACTTCAGGGAGTGAGAATTTGGAGATTATTTAAATTTGTGAACAAACACTACAGATGTATGAATTTTCTGAGGTAGAGAAAGCAGTGATCAGGGCCTATGTTTTTTGGGGGGTGGGGAGAAGAGTGGACATAGAAGTTAATGAAATGTTAGACAGCAAGAATCATTACTATGTTGCTCAGTACAGGAAAAAAAAAGCAATAGGCAACTATAATGCAGTGTTGGAGACGACATATTCCACTTTGGTTCAAAGGTGATGTTTAAGAGGGCTGAAGGTACAGAATTAAGGAGAGAAGGCAGACTGCGGCATGATGATAAGTGAACATTTAGAAATGGAGACAGTGAAGGTTTTAAGCTGGTTTTTGGCTGCAGTAAGGTTTGAATTCAGGGCTTCATGCATGCTTGCTAGCAGGTGTTCTATGTTAGTTCAGCCACTCCGCAGCCCTGCTTCAGTTATTTTTCACTAAAGGTCTCATACTATTGTCCATGGCTGGCCTGAGATCGTGATCTTCTACCTCTGCCTCTAATGTAGGTGGGATCACAGATGTGAACTACTGTGCCTGCCCCATGCTAGTATTGTTAGAAATTTCTCATCTCAGACTGGAGGTGTGGCTCAAATGGTAGAGTTCCTGCTTTGTAAGTGCAAAGTCCTGAGTTCAAAATCCGATCCCCCCACACAAAAAGAATTATCTTCATCTCAATATTGGGATGTGACATCATTCTGAATAGGCAAGAAAGCATAAAGGCTGCACACCTTGTCTCACCCACCACTTTATGAATGTCAGGGGGAGAAATAAATTGAAACTACCATTTTCCCTTCCCCTTTCATACAGCCAATTGTCATTTTCCCCTCCCATCCTCTTTTCACAATAGAAGCCATGTAAAACACTAGGACTATTCTGTTGGCAGAGTGATCAGATACAAACTGGGGGCAAACAAAATGGAGAATAAATGAATGCAACCATTTTCATACATCTCCTTCTACTCCAATTCAAGTAAGACAATGAGGAATAATTGGAGCCAAATGTGTATCCTACTGGGAACTGCAAATTAATTTTTTCCTTAATTTGAAAGTGTCACTCACTCACATAAACAGACGTTTATTTTTTTCCTACTGATTTTAGCAGAGCCCCAAATACGATCAGTTCAAGCTACTGCCCTTTCTGTACTATTTATGTAACACAGTGGGAAGGCTCCAAAAGCATCTGATATCCAAAGCACAGCACAGTCAATGTTCCTTCCAGGTTTCCATTCCAGTTTGTCTCAGCATCAAAAAGTCTTAAAATTGTAAAGATGGTCCAATGATTATCACCACCACCAAACTAACGTATCACATGAATATCTGCTTTATTCTAATGCAGGTGTAGGGGAAATGCTAATTTCGCACAGTATAATGAGACAAAAATGGAATTTTTCAGAACAAATATTTATTTAAGGATTAAGGGAAAACAAAAACATTAAAGCATAGGAGTACACTGAGTGAATACAATTTAACTCATTTGGTCTGAAATCTTGAAAAAATTACTCTAACTACTTACCTGAGGTAGATATAGGTTGGCACTGCTTCAAGGGAACCTCCATCCATCCCAGAAGTTACCTTCTAGATTGGGTTACAGGCTCCCAAGTGGTCCTTTCCAACCTCAGGTTATGCTATATGAATAATACCAACACCTTTTCCCCCATGGTTAAAAAGCACTCAGACCTGTTTCCTACCAGCAAAGTGCTCTGTTTGAGGAATGTCCATTGTTACTTTACTTAGAGATTAGAGCCAACTGCCAGTAAGATTAGTTGACAGAAGTGGCAAATCACTGCCCTGGTAATCATACCAACTCCGTCCCCTTCTCCAAGCTCTCTCTAATGATTAATAAGCAGCCACAGGGCTAATTTTCATTACTGCCATGCCACACATTCAATACCCTTTTAAGTATTACAATTGTCAAACTTATACTAGTGATAGGCATGATTTTCACCAAAAAAAAAAAAATACATCTTGTATGTTTTATCACACTGGGCAATTTTTCATGGTACAAGAGCTATTTATAAAAATTACTGAAACATGTCAGATCAAATGAACTTACAGGATCTGTATTCTAAAAGAAAAAAACTAGAATCAGATTCCTTATTACCATTAAGAGCTATATCCACTGGCCCTAAATTATCATGACCAGCAATCAGTCACTAGGATCAAAGCTTATAGCCATACATCAAGTAGCAGCTGGCCAACTCCATGAATCCAAATACTTATGTAGTCTGCAGGGATCTGTTAGATAAATCAAACCAAAAACAGAGGACTCCAAATAGCAACAACAAAATATTTATTCATGTCTGCAGAATCCCAAAGACTGCCGGAATTCGAAACATTTGTCTTAAATATCTTTTAATCTGAGAGAAGAAAAAACTGAGAAGTGACCATTTTCTAGACAAGGTTAAAGATAATCATAATTATCCAATTGGAGTCAAATGCTTATCCTTAAAACTGCAGTGAACCTGCCAACTACTTTTCCCTTTTAGCATTTAGAATCCTGCATTCCAAGCCAAATTATACCTTATATTGTGATGACTGCAATCCTTTCCCTGGGACTTAAAGGTATTTTTCTCTTTCCTTGGCAGAACTGAAATAAATGAAAAAATGTATCATTATGAGGCTTGATTTGGTACAAACAGCAGGATAATGGAATAAAAATACACCATTTTGGGAGTTAGGATATTCAAAAGAAAAAAAAAGTTTTGTTCCTTTACTAACAGTGCATCATTATGTGTATTTTCTCTGTGCCCATTCAGGCATTTTTTTTTTTATTTCAGTCTTCCCCTAGCCTTTTGCTAGGAGACAACTAAAGGTATTAATTGCTGAGAAAGATAAATTGAGTCACAAAAATCTGGGTACTAACATCATAACCATTATCCTAGAATTTGTATTTTGAGTTGAAAAGAAATGAATCCTTGTTTGAAATTTCAAGTACCAGTGCTAACTCAGAAGATACTTTAGGGAAAAGGAAAAATCTGAGGGTAGGCCTCAACCCACACTAAGTAAAAAGCTGAGTATTCAACTTCAAATGAAGTTTGAAATTGAATACACAGAGAAAAAACTATTGGGAGAATTTTGATCTAGGATAACTACTCCCTAGCTTCTTAGATCTTTTCATAGCCTCCAAAAGGGTGCCATATTACTATGAACACACTATTCCCATTCTATCCAAGATTCTAAAAAAAAAAAAATCAAGAGGCAAAATCAATAGTCCTTTCCCCCAATAGGAGCACATGCCATATCTGCATATCACAAGGTTACAATACTTTCCTTTATTGGATCTTTGAATTTTAAAAACTGAAAGTAAAGCAATCATTAAGTGGTTCAGATAAAAGAAAAGCATCTTTACCTGAGTTACCCATCAGGTCTATTTTGACCTGCCCTAGCTCCTTCCAGAACAAGCTTGTGGGTACCTAAAAACCTATTTCCATACTGACTTCATTTAAAGTTATCTCTACCATATGGTCCAACTAACTATTGAACAATTCTCATACATATAATATGTACACATTTTCTCACCCACAATTAGCTCTCTCACTGGAGCAAAATTTTCCATAGAATGGGTTCTTTGGGGCTCAATAATGACAGGAGCTTCTAGCAAAGCTTTTTCAGACTCCGTATTTGTGTTTGTTTTTCCACTTATGCAAGTTTCCTGATGTACCATAAATGTTAATCATTGACAAGCTTTTCTCTTTAGACACGTGTAAGGTCTTTCCTCAATTTTCTTTTTTTTTTTTTTGGTACCCAAGTAAGGCTCTCCAATGTTTTTGCCACACTCAAGACAAATATACAATTTTCCATCAGTATGGCTTCTCTGATGGGTAAGGAAGTCAAGAGTTTAGTTAGAAGCCTTTTTCTCCACACTTGCTGGGGCTTATCCCCAGGGTGGGTTTTGATGTCCAATAAGATGTACATACTGTCTCAAGCACAGCTGACACTGAAGGCATTTAAAAAGTTGTTCTCTGGTGTAAATTCTCTTGCAATGAGGAGGGCTGGACACTGCTAGAAAGCTCTCATACTCACTGTGTGTGTAAGTTTTCCTACCTGTATGAATCCTTTTATGAGTGACCAAGTCTGAGCTCAGAGTAAAGGTTTTCCAAAACTGAAGGCATTTGAGGAAATTCTCATTGGAGTGTCTGACAAGATGTTCTGTTGGAGCAGGTCAAAGCCTTTCTCCTATTTCCTACAATTTTATGTTCTCTTGTCCCCACTGAAGTCTGAGCTCTGAGGAAAGTCAGATATTTGCCTAGAGTTCTTCATCTTAGTGAGTTTTGACATGTAAATATGTTTTTTTTTTGTGATACTGTAACTTCTTGTCTGGTCAAGACATTTGTGAGGCTTCAGATGCATGGGGAGGGCTGAGCTCAAGACCTTTCTCACCCACATTATAAACATATGGTTTTTCACCAATGTGTACTGTCTGATGTTGAAGAAGTGCTGAGCTCTGGTGGAAGCTTTTATCACATACACTGTATTTATAATGTAGTTCCTCTGTTTGAGTTCTCATTTTCTGTTGGGAAACAAAGTCCATACCTAGGAGGAAGCCACTCTCACATGTAGACCACTGATGTGGTTTTTCTTCCATGTGAATTCTCTGATGCACAATAAGGTCTGAGCTACAGTTGAAACTTTTTTCATATTCAAGGCATTTAAAAGTGTGAGTATGAGTTGCCTGGTGCCTAATTAGGTTGGCACTCCGAGTAAAACTTCTCATACATTCCAAGCATTTATACGGCTTCTCACCTGTGTGGACTCTCTGGTGTACAATAAGGTCTGATTTCTGGCCAAAGCATTTCTCACAGGCACCACACTTATAGGGCTTCTCTCCAGTATGAACTCTTTTATGTACAATGAAGGCTGAACGGTGTCGATAACTTTTCTCACATTTGTTACATTTGTAGGGCCTTTCACCAGTATGAGTTCTCTGGTGGCTAATAAGATCTGATTTCCCACTAAAAGCTTTTTCACACTCCAGACATTTAAATGGTTTCTCACCTGTGTGAGTTCTTCTGTGCCTTATGAGGTTTGTACTTCGACTGAAGCACTTATCACACTCACTACACAGATAGGGTTTCTCACCTGTATGGCTTCGCTGATGGACAAGCAGATCGGAGCTCTGACCAAAATTCTTGCCACAAATGTCACATGTATAGAATTTTTTACCTGCATGTGTTCTCTGGTGTCCTGAAAGGGCTAAGTGATGCCAAAAGCTCTTCTCACATTTGCTACATTTATAAGGTTTCTCATAATTGTGGATCCTCTGGTGTGAAATAAGATCTGAGCTTTGGATGAAGGTTTTCTCACACATATCACATCTATATGGTTTCTCCCCAGTATGGGTTCTCTCACACATAATAAGTGCTAAGTTTTCACAAAAGTTTTCTTCACGTTCAAGGCACTGGTATATTTGATTATCTATTTGAGTAATCTCATGTACATGAATATAAATCTTTTTACCCTTCTGAGGGCATACATGATAAAATTTCCTTTTTTGAGTTCTCTGATTACATCTCTCTTCTGAAGTGTACATTTTCTATGGCTGTCTCCTAGGGAGTTTTCCACTGGTCTTCTTGACCCATCATTACTTTCATAGTCATTTTCTTGACAAGAACTTGGAAGGGAAGTCTACTTCAAGCCTTTCAGTCACAAGCAGTTTGCCTTTACAAGTTTCCAGCATCATATACATTAGTTTCTTACTTGGTACTTTCAAACCTGTGAGACAAAGTAGAAACAATATTTATATTCCTATAACTAAGAAGACTCCTCAAAATTAAAAGTCACCACAGACAAGATTGAAATCTGTATCAGAGTCTGTAAGTCTTCTATGTTTTGCATGGATCCATTATATAAAATGCTTGGGAGCAGAAATCCTTTGGATTTCAGATTTTGGTATATCTGCATATACATGAGATGCTCTGGGGATGGGACCAAAGTTTAAACACAAAATTCATTTATGTATCATACATCACCTGAAGGTAATGTCACACAAAATTTTAAATAAATTTTGTTTACAAAACAGTTTCACTATGTGGAATTTTTATGGCATCAGATTAACACTTTAAAGTATCAGATTTTGGACCACTTTTGGATTTTTTTTTGAGATATAATCTCACTATGTAGCCCAGCCTGGCTCATGATTCTCCCCCTACCACCTCTTGAGTGCAGAGATTACAATTGTGTGCTACTGTGGCTGGCCAGATTAGAAATACTCATCCTGTATTTAGTTTTCTTCTCTCCTAAAATAAAAATGATTGGAAATACAAGAAAACACCAGTAGGAACTCTTTTTTTATGCATGTGAGTGATCTCAAAATCAATGATCTTCTTTCCCTTGTTTCAGCTGAGAAATCAAAGAGTTCTAATAATTAGTATGCCTGTTCAGGAAAAAAGCAAAGCAAAGGGGAGCATTTTTCACATTCTTACACTTACTCTCTTCAGTGATCTTTTCATGTTTGACCCTCTTCTCATACATTTAGCATTGCCATCCTTCACCTAAGGAGTATAAGCTGATGATTTTACATTCTATTTTACTAAGGAAATGGAAGAAAAAAACAATGAAACACACACACACATACACCAAAAAACATCAACAACCAAAAAACCAAAAAAACACCCTTCTACATGCTCCCACCACCTCAACCAACCTCTAAAATGGGTAGACAAGCACTCCATCATTCCTTCCTTTAAACATGGATGACAAACTACCCTTGCTCAATCTAAGGACAATCTTTCCATCTGTGTACTTGATTCCACCCTTTTTCTTCACAAGGATATCATACCAGCAGTTCTATCACTGCCTTCCCTAAATTTTGTCTCAACCTGGTAGCAAGTGTGATTCTGCTAACAGCCAGATTATGTTCTTCTGTTCTCTTCAGTGGTTTCCTCAAGTCCTCACAATGGCCCAAGAGGCCCTACTTGAGTTCCACTGCCTGTCCCTGTCACTGTCTCTCTTAATGATTTTCTTCTTCTATTTACAGGTTCTAATCCAGCCATGATGGCTTCCTAGCTGTTCCCATCCAGACATATTCCACTCAGGCTTTTGCTCTTCCTTTCTTCAGCCCCTGGTTTTCTTCCTCCAGGTATGTGTATGGTTCTCTCTCTCTTTTTGTTAGCCTATTATAGTTGTACAGGGGGTACACTGTGTCTTAACATAAATGCTTACAACCTATCTTAATTAGATTCATCCCTTCCTTCCTTCTTGTTTATTCCCTCCTGTGTGGTTCTCTTAATCCCTTCAATGACTATCTTTTCAGATACCACTTTTCAGGGAGACCTTTTTTGACCACCTTAAATAAAATTGTGAATTGCCTCCATGTCCCAATACTACACATCTCCCTTTTAATTTTTTCTTCAGTGACACTTATTATGTTCTAAGTTATTATATAATTCACTTACTAATTTATTATCTACTGCTAAAATATGGGAAGTGTGTTTGTTTTATCTGATGTTCTTTCCCTAGGAGGTAGAGTAGTGCTAAGCACACAATTGGTGTTTAATATGCACATGCTGTGTATGAATGACTTTTCAATGAAATTTTACTTCTCTCCTTATCTGGCAAAGAAAAAGAACTGAAATCCCACAGGAAACAGAAGTCACTCTGATGAGATGAAGTGTGGAAGAGAAACGGTACATTCCAAAAGACTGAAAAAACTGTAGCTTACCTAGAATCTAGAAGAAAAGCAGCATTCACTCCCTGGTCCTGAGAACTTGATTTCTCAAGGCAGACAGCATTCTATAAAATACAAGGACAAGTAAAGAATAAAAAGTCATAAATGAGAGAATTTAGCATTAGATCATTTATAAATCAAAATTCTGGTATTTTTGAAGAAGTTAAGTAGATAAAACCAGCTAACTTAATGGAAAAAAAGGGGGAGGGGAAAAAGCACATATTTACAATGTAAGAAAGGACAATGAAGAATAACCACTGAAACAGAAACACAAACAAGACCACTTTGCAGATTATTAC